GCTATGGTTGATTAGACTGAATGTTGTATTGTAATTAATTTTGTTATTGGTGATGATTTGAAATATTGGATCTGTTTATGGAATAGGTTGGTAAAAGAGAAGACAGATTAGCTGATGTTCAGCAATCAGCACTGCCCATGGAAACCCACAACACTAGAGGAGTTTCAAGTGTACCTTTTGAGCCTACACAGCAACCTTACCATAGTGAAATATCAAGTCGATTGTATGTGTGGCCGAGATATTATTTCGGCCAAGCCGAAGCATAGCTCTTCCACATGATATACAACGTTTTTTATTAATTAAAATGGCCATAATCATAAGGATTATTGACTTAATTTTTAACAAAAAGCCATCTAACGCATCGTTAGCCATTTGTTTACTGATTATCCAGAAGTCGGCCTTTGAAAATTATTCACGGTAAATCAACCCTTCACTAGTTTAATCTGTGATTAGATTCAAAGTGCACCAGACGTCCAATTAGCTGGTGATTCGTTTGTTTGTTCACAAACGGGGATGCAACCCCACATCCTTGCTAACGAGACAACTAATTAAATCGGTATCGATGTACGATATCGTGCGCAAATTATAGACATAATGAGCATGCTTCTAAAAGGGGGTGTGCAACGCTTGTCATAGACAATTGATTTGATAATGGCTGAATAGAATTAATAAGTTTGAATTTAAATTTGGAATGTTCTGTAAAGCGTGCTTACAGCTTGTTGTGTATAAAAAAAAACATATTTTATTGATGTTATGGCTTAGTTTTTCTATCCATACCTATGCCAAATTAAGTTAGTTAGTTTAGATAAAAGACATGACAAATATGTGTTTCGTCTTGGTAACACATTCGTGACGTCTTTGACGTTGCAAATGGCGACTCTTTTCCATCAAATGGACAATAATGGTAAGTTTAATTACTAAGTTTTATAGTTAGTAAAAATACCAGCAGCGATATTACTATCAATATCAGTGCTATTTAATTTCATATTAAATATAAGTGTTCATTATCTACAAATATAAATCGGTGCAAAACGCGTTCTAATAAAATTGTAAAGTGCTTTTAAAAATATCATATTTGAAACTATATTCATATTATCATTGATATAGGTATTATAAAAAGTTAAGCTCTAATTCCTAGTAAATTATATGAAAATAAATTTTCGTATTTCGGTATTCACATTCACAACATTTTTAATATCAACATACCTATACAGGTCCAGAGCAATTCATAGAAATTAAAAACAAAATATTTTGTTTTAAGAGGCATACTTGAACTAGTATCCTAGCTATGAAATATAATTTTATAAAAAAAATATTTTATTTTTCATGTTTCGAATAGGTACCTATCTCTCTGTTCTAATTACGACCCTATTCATACGTTAATAGGTTGCTATTTTAAGTAACAATTAACTGGTAAATAGGTCGTAATAATAATATGGTTAGATATTTGTTTCTTTTTTGATTTTGGAACAGGATATCGCCTGGTGGAAGACCCTTTGTGGAATTTGGTGGAAGGATTGGGCCTCCAGTAACCTCACTCACACGGCGAAACACAACGCCGTGGTTGTCTCACGGCGGTTTTCTGTGAGGCCGTGGTATCACTGCGGTCAAGCCGCCCCATTCATGTAGTAAGTTACAGTAAATTTAGAAACTATTTCTAATATCTATAGGTATTAAAACTAAAATACATTGAACCAGAATATTTAAGATAGTTACTCCTACATATTTAGGTACCGTGTTGAAAAAGACCGAAAAAATATAGCGTCGAAACGAAAAGCTACGGGTGCCTTATCCTTCATAAAAAATGTGTAAAGTTCAGCCCCGAATCACTTGGGGTCCTGAAAATGGTAATAAAATGGGTGGGCGTGGCTTAAGCCGTCACGCCCTCTTGGGGATGAGGTGCCCTCAATCCCTGGGTTGGGGTACGCGTGGTAAAGAACCACTAAAGGTGACGCTGGGAGACTGAATTGAGTTTTTTTTGTTATGTTATGTTATACAATACAAAAATGCGTAATTTGTTATTAGTTTATTAGGTAGGTCAAAGTTTTTTTATTTAAATATAATTGAATTTGTTAAAATTAATTTTTGTCGAAGTACTTTAGGTACTAGTCTTTTGGAGAAGTTTCTGTCAAAAATTGAGATTGTTTCAGTGATTTTGGATTAATTAGTATAAGGTTTTAATTTAAACTAAATTGTAGTTAAGGTAGCTGGGGTTGCATGCGCAATGATATACCCCTAAGCACCCAAGAACCCCTAGCTTAGAGCAGGAGAAGGAACGGGGTTTTTACCTAGCCAATAATGACTTTGTCAACCTAGGTTGGTATGAGAGAAATGGTCAGGCTCTTACTGACTAAAACCACCCCGTTTCTTTTCCTGTTCCAAGTCGGGGCCGTGGTACCTAACTAAAGATATGATTGCCTTAACCGGTATCGAACCACTATCCAGGAGGCAAACGTCTTTTAGCTGACTCTCCCGACAGCCGCTCGAACAGTTTAAATGAAAAAGAAAAGTTTCTTCTCTAACAAAACCATAAACGAAAATAAGTTTAATATGTAGATATTATTTTACTCGTATAAAATAACCTATTTATAATAAATCCTAACGATTCATATCATAAATGCTTAGAATTTGAAAATACATATGGGTATATGTTTCTTACCTATCAATCCTACATAGGTAGGATATATAAAAGATATAGATCTTTTATGGAAAAACTACGGAACGAATGAAATTGCCACAGAGATAGATTATGGTTTGGAATAACACATGGATAGGCTAGACAAATTAAAATTACGTAAGTAAGTTACTAGTAAAATTAGAAAAACATTTGTTGTAACCATACAAAACTGTTTTCTAAGTGTTATTAAGCAATTGATAACTAATAGCTTATTTTTGATGCGGCACAGAGTTCCCGGAGTTCAGTGATTCTAACATAAACTTCATTACAGATTGAGTATATACCTTGGTACTAGGATCAGAAAGGCTGGCAGAAGCGAGTTATTTAATAAATCTTTTTTTTCTAACTAATGGCTTCTAGAAGCATTATATACCTACATAAAACCAAAAACTTCTTTATTACAAACGTAACAAAGTAGTTTTTACTTTGAAAAGTTATTATTATTATCGAAAAGCAATTTTTTCAACACATCAACAGATTAAATTCGTTACAACAATAGCTATAATGCACCCTGCAGTTGTCCCTATCTTCCCCAATTGTTGCCACACGCAAAAATGAATTATTAGTTTTGCCAAATGGGGCGGGAGTGGGTAGAAACGGTTGGGCGTAGGGGCGTAACGGATATTGGTCATATAAATAAATTAGTACGAAGATGTAGGAAATTAAATTGTTATTTTGATGTGGGTACGTATTTATGTAGACTAAAACGATTTTCGAAAAATATATTTTTTTTTCGGTCTTCTACTTGCATTTTCGGACGAGCTTTCTTCTAGGTTAATAATAGGTGACAATTTTATTTTGACATTTCAAAAGTGTTTAAATCTAGCGATTGATTGGAATGCCTTTGACTTTGTAATATGGACCATTGTATTGTATCTTTATATAGCTACGTACATAATTTAAGTGATTCGCCGAGAATGAAAAAATATTTCTATGGTTTGTCTCATCCCGTTAACTATTTTAAAATCAGCAAATATGTTCCTTGATAAGTACCTAAAACATTTGTCTTGTGAGATTTGAAACGTACTAGCATCGCGGTAAAAGTTAATTTAAATAATTTAGAAAATGACTATTCCACGTGAAATCGGATTTTTTCTGTCAAACCACAAAATTCATATTCAATTCAAAAAATCTCACATTTTTAATAACTAGGCAAAAAACTGACAAGCTAAGACAAAATAGCAATTAAAAAAAATATCGTGTATAAACCATAAATAAAAATGGACGCTCATTTGCAGAACGTAATTTAAATTCAAAAGATATAAATTATATTTTTATTCACAAATTCCACGTCCGAGGTGAGAAAATAATTTTGATTAAAATAAATCAACATTTGGAAACTAGACTTAGATTAAATACGTATATTTATCAAGAAAAACGAAAAAAAAAGTTCATTTTGATTCGCCGCTTACTCACTCGTATTTTTTTTTTTTATAGTAAACGCTCACGCGATGAGTCCCATTAATATTGTAAGAATGCTACTGACAGTTGCCCCTTTTTTTTACTACGCTTTAAAGTGTACAATAATAAAGTTTATAATTTCTAACTTAATTTTATTTATGATTAAAAACTGATGAAAGAAAACAAATAAGTACTTAATCATAAATATAACAACAGTATCGATTATAGATACCAACAACAGCTTATGTTCTATTTTTAATTTAAAAAAAATCAAATGTCAAATCTATTCTTTTTTTTTTTATTATTTATTTTTTTAAGAATGACTAGGTATTGTTGGAGTCAGCAACATAATAAAAGTTGAAATATGGCATATTTTAAGTTATATATTTATTTAAAATTAAATATCGAATTGTGTAATAGATTTACTTTCGTAATTCATAATTCAACAAAAATTTTAATCGTGGATACTTCTGATATCAAATGTTATCGGAATTCTGGCATTGTAGATAGGCCTAAACTGGCACGCGACGTTTGTCACATTTCCCACTGTTTTATACGTTTTATAGTTAATCCCTCATATTTTGTCACTTTCACTCAATCAAAATTACATTTTAGTTGTTCTTTTATGTTATAAACCATAAATAAAGCCGACATTTTTAAGTTTAATTCATTATTTTTTCTCAATGATTTTAGCTACAAACCAATGGAGGGTATGTTTTAAAAACTAGTAAAAACAAAGCTATTAAATGTAGGTATTCAATACAATATATAAAGGTCAATGACACGTAAAGACAACTTGCAATTACAACTTCAAAAAACATACACTCCATTGTTTTTTTACACAAAAAATATAGATGCAAGTTGACAGGTCGTTTCCGACATTTCCCTCGCAGACCGATAAAAAAACATAATAAAAACTTACCTATTTACGTCAAAATCCAAACTTTCAAATGTATACGAACGCACTGACTATGAAACTTGGTAAATGCACTCGACAATAAAAAATAAAAATAAAAAAGATTTTTTTAAAACGTTAATCATCCGCGATCGATCACTCGGCACGAACAAGACACGACTGAGACGTTATATCAACAAATTATCTTATCAAAAAACACGTTTAATCGAAGATTTATTGAAAAAAATCGAAGTCCGTAATGTTTTCGTTGTGTACTTAGGCCTTTTTGTGTGTTAGCACTGCACTTGTGTAGTGTCGGGGGAATGCGACGCGAGCGCTGGCGTGGTCGAAGCCAGACTGCCGCAACGGTTCGCCCCTCGCGTCGCACGCCCCACCCGAGGCCAATTTTTCAGGTAAAAAAAAACGGGAAAAACAGATAACACTTTCTGTTTATTATCTATTTGGCGACAGTTTTTAGTTACCTGCTTGGCTGAATGCTGGTGGTCTGTGCCTGCTTTTGTTTTCTTGTCGCCCTCTATTGTTTGTGGGCGTTTACGCTTGGCGCCAGTGGGCACGTGCTATTAATGTCCCAAGCTAATTATTATTTACGAGTACGTTGATAAGTTTATTTATTTTTATGATTGTTGCGTTTACGGACTTTTTGGTTGAGTTCAACTGTCATATAAATGAACTAAATTGCGTTAGTTGGGCATCAATAAAATAATATTTAGTGAAAAGTCATGACGTTTTTTTTCTGTTTATAAAATGTTTTGCTGTTTAGAAAAATAAATATTATCTAACAAAAAATATCGTTAACGTTTACCTAACAATGGCGGCTTACTTATTTAATATTTAAAGTTAATAATTGAGTCATTAATTTCAAATAACTTGCGTCAAATAAATTTATATTGTCAATTAATATTTTTATAACAGTCAATACAAACTCAATGCTTCTCAAATACATACGTACGTTCCTAAGTACATTATGACAAAATTAAAAAAAAGCATATTGACAAATTATTTTTATATTTATAATGAATCATTGAGATTTGTGTTTAAATTAGCATAATGTCGATAAGATTTTTTTAATAAGACCTCAAGAATCTATTGTTACATTACGAACTTTAATAAATATTATTTTATTAATGTTCAGTTAAAAATACAATAATATTACTAAAAAGATTTATGTAAGAAGGTACGTGCCATATTAAAATATTTTTTTATTAGAAAAAATTTAGTTAAGTTTGAATTATTTTTCTATATGAAGTTCTATTGGTAAATTAGGTAATATAAGTTACCATTCACTACATCGTGTAAAACAACGTCGCTTTCTCTGTCCCTATATCCTTATGTATGCTTTTTTATGTCAAGGGAAAATCCTCAAATGACTTCCTCCGCCCAGGGTGAGGCGAGAGGGAGTGTCAGACTCGTACTGACTAAAGTTCCTCCTTCAGCTTCGGACATATTTCAATCTCAAATAACATAACTAAATAATGACATTTGCTATTTACAAGCTTGACATAAGTTTATATGTTATTAAAATTACCGAACTACATAAATATGTCGTAATGAACCCTAGATTAAGTTACTCACTTCTTTGGCTTTAGAGTTCAGATTTAAAGCTTGGCAAAAAGTATTTACTTCCGAATTATTAGATAGATACAATTCTAAATACATTTTATAATCATTCAAATAAATATGTATAACGGGAATAAGTCCTTTCATGCATGTAGGTTATGAAAGAAAGAAAGAAAGAAAAAGTATTTATTCGCGTCTACCTATAATTGGCCATAATACCTATAACTTGTAAATGTTTTTATGTGATAAGACTAGCAGACAGATTGTCTGATGGTAAGCAATCAGCGCCACACATGGATACTCGCAACAACGGAGGAGTTACGATTGCGTTGCCGTCCTTTTTGGGATTAGGTATTTGGAAATTTTGTGATTGGTGGAGAGAAAGAATTGGGTATCCGGTAACCTCACTCACACGGCGAAATACAACGCTGTGGTTGTTACACGCCGGTTTTCTGTGAGGCCGTGGTATCACTCCGGTCGAGCCGACCCTTTATTTTGTAAAATATTATTAGGTATCGCTGTTGTTTACGTAAATAAAATACAATTAGGACACTACTGAAATTCAGTATGGAAAAATACGTGACTTAATTTAAGTTATAATTAACTTATAGCGCTAAAAATGTCGTGGTGGCCCGAAGGTTAAGTGACATGCTTCTCATGCATGAGTGCCGTGGTTACGAAACCTGGCAAGTATCAATGTGACTATTTCCGAGTTATATGTACTTTCTATGATTATTTAAACACCACTGTTAAAAAGGCCAAGGAAAACAATCGTGAGCAAACATGGACTGCTGCTGCTGCTGTTAAAATTTTGTGGTGCCACGGACGTTAAGGCGCCTTCGAATCCTGGCAAGTACCAATATTACTTATTCCAAGTCTTAAGTAGGTACTTTCTATGATTAATTAGACACTCCTGACATACGTATACGGTGAAGGAAAACATCGTGAGGATTTTTTTTTTGTTGTGGGGAAAATCATCAAATGACTTCTCCCGCCCAGGACCGGGCGGGAGGGAGTGTCAGACTGTTCCTTCTCCTGCTCTGGGCCGAGGTCGCGGTGCCTCATTGCGCTTACCCCGCAACCCCGGCAGGAAACCTGGACTTACAATTTCTAATTGTAAGTCCAGATTTCCTGACTTACAATTTCTAATTGTAAGTTTGAAATTCCCAATGCACTTTGAGTAAGTTTGATGATTAATGCTCAAACCTTCTCCGTGTGAGAAGAGGCTTTTGCTCAGCAGTGGAAAAATTGTAGGTTGATGATGATATTGAGTATTTTTTGTCTAACATAGTAGTCAATTAGGTACTAGCGTTGTGTTTCGCCGTGTAAGCGAGGTTACCGGAGGCCCACTCCTTTCCCACCCCCAATCCCTAAATCTCCAAATCCCTAATCCCTAAAAGGTCGGCAACACACTCGTAACTCCTCTGTTGCGGGTGTCCATGGGCGGCGCTGATTGCTTACTATCAGGTAATCCGTCTGCTCGTTTGCCGACCTATTACATAAAAAAAAACGTGCAATATATGCATCATTATCTTAACCATAAGTTTATCAGCCAGGGTTGCGGGGCAAACGCAACAAGATACCAGCCTCGGCCCAGAGCCGGTAAAGGAATGGGGGGTTTTTAGTCAGTAAGAGTCTGACACTCTCTCTCGTCTTCACATGGGCGAGACAAGTCATTTAATGATTTGGTCCTCATAAAAAAGCCATAAGTTTGTAATAACCCATCTTTCTTCCTTTTTCTTTCTTTTCAAAGAACGTTGCCCCACACTAGGATTCTCTCCTGTGTCGTGGGTGCGTTTACAAACATACAATTTCACATACACAACACACCCAGACCCGGAACAACAGTTTGTGGATCACACAAAGTGTTGTTCCGTACGGGAATCGAACCCGCGACAGGTTGCACAGCCGCCAGTTGCCCAGCCACCGCGCCAACTGTGCAGTCATCTACCGACCCTTGAGCAAGCATGATCAGCAGTTGACATTTCTTCTCAGTGTAAGATTGAGTTTTAATAATATAGATAGTCCAAAACGGATACAAAAAAATACTCAAACTTTGCATAGACATCTGTCACTGTTATCACTGGACCTTTTCTGTTTGAGGCAAGAAGGAATGTCAGACTCTTATCTACTTACTAACGCAAACTTCTTCTTACTTCGGAATTATTTAGATGAACTTATGATTAAGCAATAAAGATATTGAGTATGACACTTGACACAGACGTATATCAATTAATGTCTGGAACACGAAAAAAACAAAAACATATGTAGGCATTCTTTTCTTTTAGTACCACGAGCAAAGCTGTAAGCAGAAGCGAATTCAAACTAATATTATAAATGCGAAAGTAACTCTATCTGTCTGTCTTTTCTTCACGCCTAAACAACTGAAACTGTTCATGTGAAATTTGGTACAGACATAGTTTGGAACTCAAGAAAGGACATAGTATAGTTTTTAAACCAAAAATCTGCAGTAAGTCAAGCACTATTCCACGCGAACAAAGTCGCGGGCAGAAGCTAGTTAATAATAAGTTTACCAATGAGCTAATTAATAATATCAAAACATTTACAAAGGTCCTTCTATTGTTAAAAATTGTCACTTTTTAAGTGTGAGAATAAGTGACACTGAGTATTCCATTGTCCTACCAGTCTTGCGATAGTGTTGTTTTGTCTCTTAAATCATTTATTGTTGTACACAAAATGAGAATTGAAAGTAATAGCCAACTCTTTTGTCCTACTCCTTCCATCCAACTGTAATCCCACCTTTTAATAACAGGTTAAAAACAGAAAAAAAATACAGACAAATATTTTTTTTTTACCAAAAAGTTAGGATTAAGCAGCGCTTAAGAATTGTCTATGACCTGTACCTGAGTGAGAGTTTTAAAAAGATTGGTGGATAATAATATCTTTGTTTTTTGAGTAATGATATTTTATTTATTATTATGTGTCTTTTGTCAGGAAATAATAAGGTTTAGAATGGTTAATTAGGCTACTGATTAATTTCATATTTACGGAAACTTGTTTCACAACTTTTAAATCTAATTAACTAAGAACGAATTAAGAACGTTATGTGATATTAATAAATGTTTCCACAATTCCATCAAAGAAATGCGTTGATGTCTTTTAAGAACTACGAAAAAAAGGTCTACGGGCTACGGGCTACGAAAAAAAAGCATACAAAGTTACGACATTGAGGACCGCCTACAAAAATCAATTCTTTTGTTTTAAAATTAAACTCTAACGTTGATTGGTTGAGGCTTAGAGCTTAGGCATACATGGTTTCGTATATGGCACATACATCACACATTGAAAACAAAGAATTGCATTGAACTGGATTTTGAACCCGTAATCTGTTACGCAGCTGGCCACCCAGTCACTGGGCCAATCATGGCATAACACAGACACACAGTCTTCATATGTTTAATTTTTTAAAATATAAAAACATAATAAGCTAACATCACAAAACGAACTCGCGAAAATTGTAAAGACAACGGTGGCGTTAGATAATAAAAAGAAATTGCCCGCGACATCGTTAATGTGGAAGAGTGACTTGGTTAAAAAACTACCCTATGTCCTTTCTCGAGTTCCAAACTATGTACTAAATTTCACACAAATAGATTCAGTAGTTTAAGCGTGAAGAAAAGACAGACAGAAAGAGTTACCATCGCATTTATAATAGGTATAATAGTTTGGATTTGACTAGATGTAAATTAAGAATTATTTATGGAATTCTTTTTTAAATACTTAATATTTCAACGCGAAAAGACTTTTTCGTGTGTTTCTCCTATTTGGATTGAATAGGCTCCAAAACATTGGCCCTTGCCCTTTTAGAAAAATG